AAAATACTGACAAGATATGCTAGATGGATATTGTAAACACATTCAATCTGATCACTAAGAAGTAATAAATACATCAGAATAGTGGATGATGTTTAAAAATTCCCATTGTTTATTGTCATCGATTAGCCATCGTCTACGCTGATAACAGAAATGAACAACACAAATAGCTGTTCTTTGCCTGTGTTTTCGATTTAGTCTGATCACCAAAATGTCTTTTGTCCTCTTTAAATTCTTACAAAATACTTATTCGTAGAATATGATTAGCACTAATTAACAAACAAACGTAATGTTAGTTTGCACCCAGTAATCAATGAACTTTAAATGTCTCAGACCAACATGAAGCAAGTTGCTACCGAAATACCTCAATATTAGTGTCATTGAGTGTGATTCAGTCAGACATTTAGAGACATTGATTTTGTCAAGATAGTAGACATGTTTTGCTGGTGGACGTCAATCAGCCGAAAGCCTAGATGTTACTGCCTTTTCTAATTTCCTGAAACCATCTATTATCCTAGGAAAAATTCCTTCTTATTCCGCGACATAACATTGTCTTTGTCAACATTTCAGAATTGTCACTGAAGATATTTCATAGGATCGCCTTTGAAAAACCTAGTTTTAAACAAGCGTTTTAAAAACTGACAACTCATGTCTTAAATTCCAGATCTAATCATAATATAAAATTTCGATGCAACTAGGATTATTAGCTAGCTTGTAGCTGAGAAATGTAACAATATATAGCTATATCCTCACATTTTCCGAAATCACTTTTTTACATTAGTAAAGAAAACTAACTACGGAAAGGTATTTAATTTATGCTGTTGTAAATAACCCATTTTTTCTAACCAGTAAAATTGTCACTTCGTCTATTTTTAATCGGCTTTCATCAGTAATTGGATTATTGTCAGTATTCGTCGGCCAAACAAGTTTCGCTTTTGTTCTGACAACTGATCAAGCTGACTTAAACGTATTTATACTTTATTTTGAGGAAACTTAAGTATTTTGTAGATAAATTTCCGTCAAAGATTGGCATCAACAGACGTACTATTAAAAATCATAGAGCACTGGATAACTATGTCTTCATACTTTGGAATTTAAAACTGTTGCTCATTCACAAAACTAAGAAATATGAAAAAAGGTTTACCTTCAGTTTCTTAATAATGTTTATCTCTGATTATTAGGTTTGACCATGGTATGTATCACTTCATCACTAAAGGTATTTTTCACGTTTTATTAGTTTTCAGATTTTATATCGATGCATTACTTTACTTAAGGTGAATCTGAATTTCGCTCAAACACTTATGTGGTAGTTTTGTATCCAGTTAAATAATGACTTCTTTTGTAAAGAATAAAATTTTACTAGAAAAAACAATCATGGATTTCGATTGTTTATTCAATAAGTAATATGCTACTTAAATCATAAAGAATTGCAGTTATAATGATTTGAAATAAAACATCATCATCATCCTAAAACTTTCTGTTATAATGGAAGAAAAAAACGAGGAAAAATCTAACAATCGTAACAAAGACAAATGTATGTACTACCATGTGTATATTTTGAAAAGCTTACAGAAACACATTTTATGGTTGTATTGATTTGTAAAAATGATAATCAATTTATTTCATTGCTAATTATGGATCAAAAGCGTTAGTGAACTGTGTCACTATAATTATTAAAATTGTCATAAGTACCATTTTAGTGTCGGTTGCTATGTTAAGCCCATTTAGGTTAATCTAGTTTTTAGACTGGCCAAACCTTGACTATTTTTATATGAGTGTATGTGTGTGCAATCCTCATCTTACTCATCACATGTCTATAACTTATTTTTGTCTGACTATAAATATTGATTCACTCTTGGTTAAATTGAATTGACTTACTCCCCTTCTCCATTACGCGTCATTTTGTCTTGCTTCACTTTACGATCAACGATTACATAAAATATACATATTCAAAATCTATTCTCATATTTGACTTATTTAATTCCATTTTTCACTAACGCGAGTTAAATCGACGATTATGTACGAGGATTGACAGTATGTATATTTTGATAACAAGCAGTATACAATCAAATTGGAGTCAGATTTAGAGCCAATAACTTGGTGAGCGCGTCGACAACATTATCGTCCGATCGAATTGGCGTCAAAATAATGGGCTACTAAACCATCAATGACACTATTTATTCTGATTTCCTTTTACAATTATTTATACAGTGATCACAGAACCCAATACCATGTGTACATTATTATCCAAGTAAAACGAAGACTTTGAATGACTTACATATACATTTTCTAGCTATGAATGACAGCTAAATTATATTTCAATATTTCACAATTTAAGCGCAAAATATTTTATAGGATTTACATTATTATGTGCATATAAAAGTGAAGTTTAGTGATATATCATGGCTGTAATAAACTGTAAACAGCCTCTAGACGTTGCCCTTAACAGTTGGTTTGTCGAGATAGATTTATTAAGCGATTCAACGAAATATGTAAACATGTACATTTAAATACTCCATGCATACATCAGTGCGACAAACGTCAGTAAAAAGAAAGAAAGAGAAGATCAAACTTGTTAATAACACAATGATTTAATACTAATTTCTCTAGGATTCGGTCATATGAAGTCAGAAATGAAAATTAAATAAGAATGTATACTATTCAACAAAACATAAATGTAGTCTGGTATTAATTCCACAGGTATAATAGATTGAAAAGTATCTATCTGTAATGTTCCAAAATGATCATGATCGCTACACAATTTAACTAAACATTGGCAAACGGAATTGATAATCAAACACTAAAGTTACTCTGTAACTTGATGTGGTAATTCAAATACATAAACGATGTTTCTGAAAAAATATCACTAAGATTCAAAAGTTCTAACCTACTTTTCAACATTAAAATACTAAATATTTCATTTATTCAATACATCTATAGATTCATTATTCATCTATTTATATTTTCTTATGAAATGTTGAAATGGTGTTATCAAAATTAGTCAACAAATGTTCTTCTTTAAATAGGTAGTCAAAGCAGATCAGTCAAGCATGCTAATAGTTTTTTGTAAACCCCGACAACATATTAACAACTGATGATGATTATAATGCATCAAGTACTAGCCTTTTTTTCTGCTTAACGGTCATATATTATGAAACACTTCAACTAAACGGAAAAACAGTTGTCCAACTGTTATATATATATGTATATATCAAAGAATACATTAGCGTCTTATTTTAAAATTAATACGGAACTATTGAATATTAAATGAGACAATTGGTGAAGATGGATTTTGTTTTACTACTTTAAATTAATAAAAGAGGTCATATAACTGAAAACCGTACATTCTGAGAAGTTGGTAAAGATTTGAAGCTCAAATGAATGATTTGCTGTTGGTGAGTTCTTTAAGCATGATGGTTTTAATGCGAAATTTCCATTTTCGTTCCGAACATCACCAGTGGTTGCTTCACGTAAAAGTGAGCGTCTCATTTATTTCATGAGCTTAAAATCAGCTTCTCTTAGTGATCTTTATTGTAATTGATTATGCTCGTAAGTCCCACTGTCTTCATCTATCTCTACGTTCAAGTTGACTGTTTCGCTCCGCTAACCTGTGACTAGGTTGTTGCCTCATCTACCCCAAATGACTTTGTATATTGGCTAAAAATGGACGTGTCTATTGATTAGTGATTGACCTAAATCTCCTTCTTTCAATAATTCTCTGACATCTATAATTTTCATTATCTAAAATTTTGACTGGTGATGTAGTTCGGAACGAAAATGGATATTTCGCTTTTAAAGCATTTGGCTTAGAGAACTCAACAACACTGAAATACGGGTGGTCTTTTATTCGATCAACTGAACAGAGATAATTATTCATTCGGTAGACAATATTTAAATGTTTAGAGAGCACCTAATCTTCAATATTCAGCAAAGTTTAATACAAAAAGTGAGTTTTTCAACTAAGAAAATTCATAAGCAAGAAATTGAGCAAAAGCGTAGTCCTTTCCAAATAACTTCCAAAAATGGCTTCGGATAAATTTACAGATTTTAAGATTATAGATAAAATCCATATTAATCAAATTACTGAGCATCCCTTAATGGTATAAAGCTACTTTTTATGTTATCTATGTAAGAATAAGTAAGTTACTGGAATTTATAAAAAATAATGACTATACAGCTATTTTGACAGAACTGATTACGTAAGCATAAAATAAGAAATGGGAAACGTCAGGATAGCGTTATAGTAATTATTTATTCGGGCAGATAACTCTGTCAAACAAATGTAAACCTAACGATTACTTTATTCTCTTGTTAATATATGTCATTTAAATGCATAAAGATGTATTACTAAGTAATTGAAAGATTAAGAGTTAAAACGAAGCATAAGCTGAGGAAACTAAGATCTTTAAAAATCATTTTCAAATTCATCTGATGTCCAGCTTCATCAAAAGGGGCTTCACTTAATTTTCTTATTCCTGTCTTCTTTTTTTTGATAAATCATAAAAAACTATATCAACAAACAATACAAAAAACTTCAATCATATTTCAGATATAAAATTGGCTCCACATGAATAATTAAGGTAGTAAATAGATATGTTCAAGAATATAACTACCATGCAATTTTGACATGATAACCAGAAGACATAAAAATACGTAAGCTAAGGAATAAAAAGTGCTATTACATACTCTTTACACAGCTGAAAACATATTCCAATGATCTATTTATATTATTCAAAGTAAAGTGTTCATTAGTTTAAGATAACTTATCTGCCTTAAATATAAAGAATATTAAACTTCTAACCAAACTTTGAATTCTACAATGTACACAATATGGTATAAAGGTGATTAAACATTTCTTCCCTAATTCCCTAAATCAATAGAAACATCTAAGTAGTGATCTTTGAATTCCCAATGATTTTTTTAATACAATTTAAACAATATTTAAAATCTAGAATTTTTCATGATAAATAATTAAAATATTCATTAATTTACATTTAACTAACCTCAATGATTGTTTGTTTATTTGTTTTAATAAGAATTTTAACCCAGAATAATTTCAGTTTTACATCTTGATTTTTTATAAATCCGCTTAATTTATTTATTTATATAAGTAGTTGATCACTAAAAATCACATTATAAATGCAAAACGATGTAAATGTGATTAAGGCGTGTATTTTTTTTGTCTTCTTCAAATTTATTTAGTGAAATTATTTACAATCGAATAGAATCATATTACGAAGTGTCTTAAATATGATTGGTTGACTAGATTAACCAATAGAATCTTTTTCTAAAAAAATTAAAAATACAAAACCGGATAGAATTATTATTGAACTGAGTAATTTTTTTCTTAATGTGATATGATAACACGGAAATTATCTTCAGTTACTTGTTATTCAAGCATTTAGTTAAGTTGAAAGTCGTACGAAAAATTAAATCATAATTAGTAGCTTTGTTTTTGGTGGAGTTTTGTTCTCCAAACTGGATGGTTTGGTCGTGGAGCTTTCATCGTTCTTCTGAACGACATCATCAGCACAAACTTCAGATAGGAATGAAGTGTTCGAATTTCTCCATATGTGTTTCACAGCTTGTTCTGTGCACCACGATGTTGATTGGTTCTTATTGACCTTAAATTTATCATTGTTTACTTCTTTGTTTTGGTTGTGTCTCCCATTGGTTTGATTTTCGTTCATATATGGAAACAATAATAAGAACCAATCAACATCGAGGTGCACAGAACAAGCTGTGAAACACATATGGAGAAATTCGAACACTTCATTCCTATCTGAAGTTTCTGCTGATGATGTCGTTCAGAAGAACGATGAAAGCTCCAAGACCAAACCATCCAGTTTAGAGAACAAAACTCCACCAAAATCATCCAACTGAGCTACAAATCTTCTCCACCATCTCAAAAGCATAGTAGCTTCGTTATAGACAATAAAATTTATACATTAACTAAATCAAGTAATTTTTCCTGAAGGTGTTTGAAGAAAATGTTCATTCATTCTGTTAAAATGTTATTATTATTTTGTTTAAATATCAGTATAAATTAAACTAACTTCTTAGCATAGGTATACTGGATAAGTTTGTTTAAAGAGATATCAAAAATTATCGGTTCCCGTAACACAAGGAACATTTTTCCGCGTTTCAAGATGCTTAAAATGAATAGGATAATTTTCAAAAGATGCCAAATGAGTAGTATGGATTCGTATATTCTGTTTGATATTTTAAAAAAGATACAGTTTTATTTATATTTCTCTGATAAAGAAGAATTTTATTTTCTATCAAAGATAAGAAAAATAGTTAATGGTAAATAACCATAGATATCACTGAAAAGTAAACTTTTACTGATTAAGCTTCATTATTCTGTTAAATACAGTTTGCGAAAATCAGGGGACTTAGGTTTTGGAAATCATACGCAATAAATTGTGTAAATACACACCTTTCTGTTGTTTTAATGAACCTGTCTCCTCATTTATACATAACGTATTATTTACAAATAGATATGTATGTGATGGGTAAAATTTTCTATTATTGAGCATCGAGGGAAATATACTTTATAGTAATGAACTCAGTCTTTAAAAAATTTTCTTTTTCGTTTGACTATTTAAGTAGCTCAATCGCATAAAAACATGTTCGTTTACAGACTTGTCAAGTTTGATACATGTTTAGTATTCCGAACTAATTTTTGCTATAAATTCAGAAAGGTAATCGTTCGATGTGAAACAAATGCTTATTATTAAGTCTTGACCAGTATAAAAATGATCTATTATTAAACATGTTTCTCTATGCTTTCTTATACCGCTAAATTGTAGACCTCTTTGATGAAGCATTTTGATTAAACTCCATTTATAGCTTATATAATTGACTATATGAATATTTAACGGCTATTTTCATAAACATCTGCTGCGATGTTTGCAGCATTGAAATGTTCCATCATTGATTCAAGTAACATCAAGGTCTTAGAAACGGAATTCATCACTTATTTCATGTAACATTATATATTTAAGATTAAGATAGATGTTACCCAATATTTTGAATATATGAATTATGTGATTACACAAATAAAGTATGATCTACGAGAATTACAAAAAATACAGTTTTATTAATGCTATGAGATAGACATTTACCTTTCAAATTATTAGCTAATATGTAGCCAAGTAAGAAGAAAGGGAATAAATGATTCGTATCCTGTATATATGTTTGTCATGATATACGAAACTAATTGTATAAAAGTTACCTTCAGATTATTTTAATTTATATCAAAGCATTCTAAATCGATTCAAAAATCAAACTATAGATGAGGCAAAATTTATTTCACCTTTGTGATTCATAATTTCTAACATTTTCGGGGAATATTCTGTAATCAGTAGGATATGAAACCGAACGCTACGAATAAACTCAAAATAATATGCTTTTGTTTATACTAATAAAGACTATGCCATTATTCGAATATACAACTTTTGAAGAAGAAAACATTTAGAAGAAAGCACTAGTGCTCGAAAACTGAAATCATGTTTAGTGAAGTCTTGAAATGTTAGAAGACAAAGCAGAGAGTGAATAGTACAATCAACATAAGTTTGAACGAACTGGATTACACGAAAATATGTTTACAAAAATACGGGTAAATTTGTAAGCACAGCTTTATGAAATGATAAATGTACACAAATTGTTCTATGATACACAATATGTCATGATTATTCCTCAAGATTATTGCATCGCAGTACGTAAAATTCGAATTTCAAGGTTTCTTTCAACTACACAGACTTGAATATTCACTAATAAATCTCTTGTAAAATTCGGGTACATAACTCTGGGTTTCCATAAAAATAAACATAATTAGGATATGCTTTCAATATGAAATGAATTTCTACAAACAATGAATGAAAGTTCGTATCTATACAAGCACTTAACAGCGGTATGTTTGACATTTTATTAGTAATAAAACCGTTATTAATAAATACTTAATATAACAAATATAGATAAAAAATTACCACTACATATTTCAACACATCTTGCATATGGAGTAAATAAAACAATATTTTATAAGGAACAACGAAAGTTCAGGTAATGACACTTTACCAAACAACATTACAAAACGATTGGATATCCGTCTACTGGTATTGTAGGAGTAGTCAAAATAATAAAAAAATGAGTCTCATAATCACGTCATATTATATGATTAGGACTTATTGTTGAAATGTTTATCGCGTATTTAGGCTCCCACAACTAAATCCAAAACTTAAATCCGTACGTTTTATGAAAATTTAAACACTTCGAACATTTTAAATGCATTGAAAGAAATGCGCGGACGTTTCCATGTTTCAATTTCTAATATTTCAGCTAATACATACAAACTTAATTTTATAACTGTGATAGGAACTCAACTCAAGATACACTTTAGGATCACAAGGAAGATGGAAATCTTGTCGATTTTTGACCATCAATGTACAAATAGTTTAAGCCTTCGGAATATGAAGGTATATATATATAGTGTGTGTGTTGAGTAGACATTCATTTATATTTACACCTGCACATGGCAAATAAATTAAATTGTTTACATTCATAATAACAAACTTCATTATCACAATTATTATTATATTACTCGATTCCGTTGGACTTTAATCAAACCTACACAATTTCCATTATTTTGTCTACTGATAATCATATATGCTATTAAATATGAAGATTAGATTTAAATATAGTAATCTTGTAAAATTATGATAAGCGATCAGTGACAAACAAACGTGAATTATTTGTAAAATGTGTATTTTAATTGAAATGCATTTAGATTATATTTGATAATGGTTAGCAGTGAAAAAGATATAATGCGGGCGTTTATTCTATAATGCGTTGAATGCATATTTCAAGGTTTATGGATTCTTTTGATAAAACTTCTGCTAATTAACTTAATGAGGACTTCTGAAACATAAATAATAATGTTTTTTTTTTACAAAAAGAAATAATCATGATGGCACTCATGTATTTCTTTTACTAAACTAAAATCATTAATTATAGTCACTGGTAAGGCTTTATATTATTGGGCTAACCATTTCTACATTCAATAGTTGACCGTTAATTTTGGTTGGTTTATTTTGACAATTTGTGTTTACTTGAAGTTCTATTAACTAGTTTTTTTTCAAGATTGTAATATAATAAAACACCGAGACTCATATCTTCGTCCTTATTTTAGAATTGTGAAAAGAGTAAACGTTTGAAACAGCACTAATGACCATTAAACTTGTACATTATGTAAAATAAAAAGAGCGTAATGAAAAAATCCAGTTAGAAGTTAAATAAAAGATTATCAGTATATTTAAATTTTTTAAAAATATTGTAACAGTTTATGAATTCTGCGAGCAGGATCGTGGATGCGCACTGCTGAAGATTCCTACCATAGGATGAAACGGTCGTTCAGTGCTTCCAGGTTTTTAATGGTGGTCTAACATCAATCGGTTTATGGTCTTAATCAAAAACTAAAATAAAAGATTTTGTTTGTAATTCTGTTTAATAACGAAACCGAATATAATATCAGTACATGTTACAAAGTAATCACACAACAAAGTAGATAGTAGACTGACTCAGTACAAGTGAAAGTGAAAGACGCTATAAATTAAATGTACTCTGTGCTTTTATTATATATTCATACTTCAAAGATACTCACAGAATATTCAAAACAAGATATATCAGAGAGAACAGTTGTTTTCTATGACATTTTTGTCTGGCTCTACAGCTATAAACTCAGCATTATTATATGACAATAGCCAAAGTAAATCACATATCAATAGGTAAACGAGATATTATTTTGTTAAAATAGTAAAATTTATCATTGGTTACAGCCTATATACTTTAAAAATGAGTCATTTGTAAATTTGTAAGGTCATTTAAAAAATAATGGCAGTAGAATTCGTTATAGAGGTATCGAGTTACAATCAGCACGATAAATAAAATCATGTAAATACAATGGACAACAAAAGAAATGTTATATTGGGCTAATAATAATAATAACTGAAACAATCCGGATCAACACTGGAAAACGGAACTTATACATCCAGAAAATTTATATTCTTCAACTCGGTTTGTTATGGCCCATTCCAAATATAAATCACATATTATAAACCTTCATTCTTCAAACCTCTCTGACATTTATGTTTATCTTGCCTTATTCTTAGTTTGTCCATTCA